TACTTACTTATTAGTACGTAGTTACGTAGTTAACGTAATAACTAACGTAACTACGACGACGACGACGAACGAAGAACGAAGAAGAAGAAGAGAGAGAGAGAGAGAGAGAGAGAGAGAGAGAGTACATTAATATATTTAAAGGAACGCCAAGAGCATTAAACTCATTCACGAATGTCCTGATAGATTTTAAGGAATTGAGATCAAGTCTCAAAACTTCCACCCGAGCTGCTGCATTCTCATTAAGAATGAGCTTCTTGGCACCATTTGCTGCCTCCATATTCCTTGCACCGATGATAACATGAGCTCCACGGAGAGCCAAGACTCGCGCTGTCTCTAAACCAATTCCACTTGCTCCTCCTAAAGCACATTAGCATAATCTATCGAAATGTTACGAAAGAAAAATTTGAATAAAAGTAGATAGAACATTTTTACTGTTTTAGTGGTTATCATATAGAATACTTCAGAGCACTTTTATTTTTTTAATAGTTATCATATAGAATATTTCATCATTAGGAAGAATATAACCAATATACCTGGAGAAAAATAGTGAAAAGCACAAGGACAAGCTGGAAGCTCATAATGAAAATATGGATCTAGAATTGCCAGTAATAATAACAAATGTCTTCCTTTTCTAGATATTATATGGATATCCTAAGACCAGAAATGAAAATTCCCATGAAATACGAAATCATTCATGGGTTGCAACCAAATAACAATAAATAATGAAATGAAACTGATAAACAGGCTATCGTTAATAATAGGAGAGTTATAAATTTACAATTTCATGGCATTAAAAAACTCAAGTTCTAGCATTGAGAATATAACACTCGAGAAGAGAAGGTCTAATGAGAAATTAATTTCTGGGGTTAATGAACTTAAGAAAAGAAGATAATGCACTAATATGTATCCACATTCCATAAGTAAAATTCTTTCTAATGAAATGGAAATTACCAGTTAAAGAGGGTTGTAAATTATGTAAAATAGAACAATACATGAGAATGATATAAAATATTGTATAGTATGAATAGAAAAGTGATCAAGTAAACCAGGTTATATCCCATCTATTATTGATCTCAGGGTAGCACTATCCAATCAATGGATGGATGGTGTTGGAGAGAGCAAGTGGAACCTACCACATGACATGTTCTGGTGGTTCTCCCTCTCTCTCCGTCCATTGATCAGATGTGTTAAGCTGATAAGTAACATAGATCATGCTTACCCCAGTTCTACCTTGCAAATCCTCCATGAAAAAGAGGAATGATAGGGTAGAACCATGTTCCGCCTATTCTATTACAGATCCCAGATTAAAACTCTGCAATTAATGGATGGGCAATGATGGAGATAGAGTGGGTTCTGGCTGTTGGATTCACTCCATCACCATCAAGCCATGATTGATTGATCAGAATCAGGCTCGGATCTATCATAGATCATGTAGACCCATTTTCTACCAGATCATTTTTCAACAAAATTGTGGAATCATCAGGAAGAACTGGGTTCTCACCTGATGTATTATAGATCCCAGCTAACACCTTCCAATCAACGGATGGATATGCTTAGTGCGACCTCTAGGTGATTTCATGTTTTGGTGGGTCCCAATCTCTCTCAATTACGATCCATCTATTTATGAGTACATAACTACCCAAAAAGAATATTTAAGAATATTTATACATGCATTAACATGTCCAATACAGGGTACTGGGTACCAGACATGATTGTCACAGTGCTGATGACTGCAACATAAATGTCCCAGGTTCAAATGCCACTCCTAACCTACTATAGAAAAAGGTTAATACTCACATCCCAATTTTTTACTGGTATTATAAAAAATGCTGAGTTGTCTCAGCTCCATTATCTATGTCTAGGTTGCTTTGTCCCAATAGCTTTCAATGTAGTTACATAGTAACATATAGGTAAAACTTTTAAGCTAAAAACACTGTTTCATTGTGGCTGTATACTAAGTAATTCTTAACATAGAATATAGTCTAGTGTATTGTGGGATATGCATAGGATAGGGTAAAGACATAAATGATCCAATTTGGTAAAAGCATAACTTGAGTAACTTAACAAAATTCATGGATTCTTCAAGAACCATAGTTCCATCTAGTCTAGTTTCCAAAACTTGGCACTGAGAGTCCAGACAAAAACTTGATCAAATACTAGCTCAACAAACCCAATAATGGTCTAGCTTGGCTTGCAAAAATTGTGGGGTTAAACTTGAAAAGAGAGGATGCTATTCTCAGATAATATACTGGCTTCCAAAAATTGTGGAGTCAAACTTGAAAAGGGAGGATGCTATTCTCATTGCAAGATTGCAGCACAGTGGTAGTTAAGGCATGCCTCACTTTAAAGCATCAAGCTAAATCAACTGATTATGGAGCCAACCTTGAGAGTCATTCTACTGACAAAGTCTAGAAGTGGTTCACTTACTCAAATAAAAGAATACGAGACTGAAATGTTGAATCTAAATCTGTGGTAATTTTACTTCAAAGAGGGGCTGACTCTTAAGACATTAGCTGATAGACTTTCACCAAAACAATAATATGTCATTTCACAATTTCTAGCCTACCAGACAAAAGTTGGTTGCTTTTCAGTAAAATTCATAAGCACATTATTTTCAAAAAGAAAAATTATAGGCATATTATTCAATGTACATAAGAAACATAGCTACTATGGAATAGACTATAATAACAAAACAGGAATCCATTTGGAATGCAAGTCAAAGATTGCAAAGATAGTTGCCCAAATCATATATTACCACATTTGATAAGATTTTGAATAGGCCATCATCAGATGATGATGTGCCTTTTCAAACATAACCATTCCACCTAAAAATTAGAAATAGGACCAGTGTTCTAAAATAGAAATCCATCTAACTTATCAAGATGAATACATGTTCAGAATGGTTTCATTCAGGACCTCCTATGTTGAGTTACATTAGTTATGCAATACTCTGGAAACACATTACACTCCTCTAAAATTCCCCCAATTTTCATTTTCTTTGATATGGCACTAAAAACATTTTGTTTAAAGTAACAATAGTTTGAAATGTCATGGAAAGTCACACGAGATCCTAGCTATAGGAAATAATCTGCAGTAAAAGTTCCCGTATAAGCTTAGGCCCCATTGGATGGTCCAGTAAACAAGGAATTGGCCTTACAAAGTAAGCTCTAGGTGAAAAAGGAGATTTCTACCTGTGGCTATGCATAAGATCCTTTCCTTGGGAACAGGATTGGCTGTGGCAAGATAAAGATTGATCAAGAGAAGGTATTTGCAAGCCATGGTGAGAGAATCAAATGACCAAATGGTGGGTACACAGTTCCAAGGTGGAGGACCAGCACAATGGCATCCGTGAGCACCATTTCCTATGATCAACAAGTGGTAGGAACCATAGTTGTTGAAAAAACCTAATATTCTGAATTGTTTTATGAATCGGAATCGTGGAATCGCGGCTGGCTAGAAGAGTCCTGTTTCGGAGTCGACGTTTGTAAAAGAGGAATCGTGGCAAATGGGATTCCTAATATATAGGAATCGAGTTTCAACCTAAATGGAATCGAAATCCCTACATATAAGGGATAGAGATTTTGACCGCTTTCGAATCAAATTTCTAACCTATTTAGAATCGACCCATATGGAAATGAGATTCCTTTATATCTGAAATAGTGACTCCGACATTTTTGGAATCAAGTTTTTGATATATTTGGAATCAAGATTCATATTAGTTGGTAATCGAGATTCATATCAGTTTGGAATCGAGATTCGACCCACATAGCAATCGAGATTGTAACTCCAAGGGGTTGAGTTTCAACCCCTTTAGAATCAAGAGTCCTGCATCAACAACATCTCAAGTCTTAACAACTTAGAGCCTCATCAAGCAATCGAGATCATAGGTTTCTAAGCCCCGAAGTTTCATAGATATGACGTCAATATATTGAATTAATGACTATTGAGCCTTGGACACAGTATCAAGAGTAAGATCAATTAATAGACACTTGTAGTCCATCAAGGAAATTGTCAAGAAAAGATACAAATATTATCTCATGTATTTTTGAAATGTGATTTTAAATTCATTATTATAGTTCAAAATAGGACTTCGTCGGTGCTATGGTGTTGTCTTTGTTATAGTCCTATTTGAATGTAAAACTCTTTACCAATTATATTTTGAAAAAGGCGGCCAATCCTAGCACTATTAGAAACGTGATCCGAGTCAATCCTAGCACTATTAGAAATGTGATCCAAATCAGCCCCAGCGCCATTAGTACTCTCATTAATGCTCCAACGCCCTAGTTATACCTGCAAAAGACATTAGAATTATACTTGTTGAGTACTTCTTAATTCTAAACATTTGCATTTGAAAATTGATTCGTGTTACAAATACTTCCACACTACGTCCATCAGATTATTATTTGGAGCACTTGTAAACCATAGGAAACAATGCTCTCCAATCAGGTTTTCAAATAACTGAAATCAGAATGCATAAATATATGAGGTGAGATTCCACATTCCACGAATCACTGTTTATCGTGCCTACGAACATTAATACTTGATTTTGTGAATTGGAATTCCAAAAAATTTCGGATTGAGATTCTATGAAGGTGGAAGCAAGATTCCATGTTGATTGAATTGCAATTTCCTGCACCTACAAACTGAGGTACTTGATGCGTGCATTCATGAATCAAAAAAAAAAAAATCAAATAGAGATTCATTATATGTGGAATCAAGCATCAATAACTGTGGAACCAAGATACAATAAATATTGGAATCGAGATTCGAAAAAGTTGGAATTGAGATTCCATAAATGTTCATATCAATATTTGGAGAAAGTTCGAATCAATATTCCTAAAATAAGGAATCGAGATCCCAGACTTCAAGGAAATGGGTTTGTGATTCCTTGTCGGAATCGCCATATCAGGATTTCGAAGTAAAATCATGAACTACGCAGGGAGATTCCAATAACTTTGGTAGGAACAAGGGGCAGGCCCATTTTGTGTATTGAAGAAATCCTACCTTTCTGAGGATGTTCTTGACCAGTTTGTCACTTACATTGTTGTGCAGTAGATGGGAAAGCTTCCTTGTACCTCCAATAGAAGGATTCAAGCTCTCCGAATAGTTACATAGTAAGAATAGAAGGGTGGGCCTATTTGATCAAATTTCTACCTAATTGTCTTATCTATCCATTATGATAATTAATTGCATACCAGAAAAATAGATTGATACAGGATGGGCAGACTCAAGCGTTTCTACAAGGTTTGCCTCTTAAAAAAATAAAGAATATAGTTATAGAGAATAAAATAAATAAACGAGAAAGACATTCATATTATATAGTACAATAGACTTTAGAGATTGAAACAAGAACAAAAGGTTGATTAGCTCCAATAAATTATCTCAAAAGGGTACTTAGAATTTCTTAGATTAGGGGACTATCAATGAAGAGCCAGTGAACTCTGTGGGGATCAATAGTCAAAATCTTTGTAATATCACATATTTTTTATGATGGAGCGAGCAGAGGGAGTATGGGCTGAAGTGCTTTTGTCATTCACCATGAACAAGCCAATGTAATCTTGACAACTTTTAGGATAGCATAGAAAGGTAGTAACAGTGCGGCAATTAACATCCTTCCCTATAGTATGCAGCAAGAACTGTCCTCTAAAGAAGGGATCGATATACAAACCATAGCTAAGGGTAGCCTTCTGGAAGTATAAGGAAGCACTCATTTGACAGTGAGAAAAAGGTTAGATGGTCAGGGTGGCAAGGCATCACAACATGGCATCTTAAGTTCCACTCCTACCATAGGTGGGGGGGGGAGGACGGCCCTTCCCCACTAAACTACCCCAAAATAAAAAAAAGAGTGAGAAAAAGCCAGTTCGATCTGCTCCGTTGTTCATGGGTGACAATCTTTCTTGACCTCACTTATTAGGAAAATCCTCCCAAAACACCCACAAGTCTGAACGAAGAAAACCATGGTCTCACTGGTTTCTAAATAACTAGTCTTCCTTTTTGGAATTGTTCTACTGTCCAAATGGGGCCTTAAATCTAGACATTCCTCCTTTAGTAAGATCAGTAGTCCTCATACAACTTAGCTACACAACAAAGTGGATAAATATCTTGTAGTAACCTAGCAAAGTGTTTGAAGCCTGGGTACACAAAGTAACGTGGAATTCTTTTATTGCCAGCTAGATCTGCTATAAAGAAGAAACAATTGGGCTGAGAATTTACCCGGTTTGGATCCGAAACTCGGATTTCCAACCCTATCCAAATCCGGTATGGATCCAAGACTTGGATCCGATGGGGGTCAGATATGGATCCAAATTTTGAATCCAAATAGTAATTTCGATAGGATCCGGGTACAGGTGGATCCGATCCCCATCCGACTCAATTATTAAAATATTATATATTATTTTATATATATAGATATATGTTATATAGTCTTTTTTGTTATATAATATTGGGCAAGCTTTCTATGTTTCCCCTACAGCATAAGAGATATATACTTCCCCTTATCCAGCCGTCCATTCTGAATGGACGGCTGAGATGGCCCTAATCATAATGTCACATCTCTATACCATTTTATTTTATTTTTATTTCTTTTGTCAAAATTATTTTTGACATCAAATTTTGAGCATCCACTCCTCTCTTAAACTCGCACTTGTAAAAAATATAAAACAAATATTATAAATAAAATAAAATGACTATAATACCCTTGAAAGTTTCAAGGGGTATTTTGGTCATTATATTTTATCAAATGTTTTTTTAATATTTTTCGTAGGTGAGTCCCATTGAGAAGATGACACGTACCAAATTTCATAATCATACAATTTGCAAAAAATAAATTAAAAATAAAATACTCTGAGACGTCGGATCTAGATCAAATGATGAGTGGCTAACTTCATATAAATTGAACGGTTGGATGGGAGGGGAACCATATATCTCTTATGCTGCAAGGGAAGTATAGAAACATTTTCCTATATTATTTTATGTTATTTTATAGATATAAAATAATATGATATAATTAATATATAAAATAATTTTTTGGATCCGTCTTGATCCTGATCCATATCCCATTATTACTTTTCGGATCTAGATCCACAAATGAATACTCTAGACCTGAGCAAGTCCAGATCCGGATCAAGATCCCATTTATACTTTTCGGATCCGAATCCAGATCCTGGTGGATCCGGACCCGAACCGACTCATTCTCATCCCTAAGAAACATCAAATTCAGCCATAAATTTGACAAACGATTGAGTTTTGAGCATGCATGAGAAATATAATTTCAATAAGGAAGAAATAATTTGTAATTCTTTGTTAAAAGCCAAATAAATTAATCTTTTTACCAAATTTCGACAAGGAAGAAACATTGCAGATAAATTCCGTGAAGTTAAACTTTTAATTCTTCGTTAGCAATCACATCTGCTATGAATAAGAAACATTGGGTTCACCCATAAGTTTTGATCGAAAGATGAAGCACTTTGGGCACAAATGGAATTTCAATAAGGAAGAAATAACCTGGATTCTTCGTTAAAAACCAGATCGGTAATGAAGAAAAAACATCTGGTTCACCCATAAATTTGATGGAAAGTAAGATGATTTTTTTTTTTGCACATCCATCAGAAATGGAAACTTGGCATAGAAATCTATCAATCATTTTGGACTAAGCTTTCAAAGTGGTCTCTAATTGAAAAATAACTTTAAAAATAAAATAACTTTACAAATAAAACCTTGTGCATACCCTAATCACACCATATAAAGCCAAAATGAAAAAGCATGAAACCAATAAAAAAAATGTATAGAGAAATTTGTTTGCTTTGAGCACACTGCAGATTCCGTGACAGGAGCTATATCATAATCTTGCATTATATATATAATATAATTGCCAAATTTCATCAGAACAAAATGCACCAGAACACCAAATCAAGCTGCATATATAAGCACTAAAAATCCTCAAAAGGACCAATATAAATTTATTCTTAATTCATTAATGAGTCAGATCCTATTAAGGCCCGAAGCGACATTCTCCACAGAAAATTACATCAGATCAATTAAGATGAAACTTTGAGATTGTTTGTATGGTATGATGGGCCATATTAAGAGACTGCTCAGCTAAAATAATTTGTTGTGTGTGTGTGTTTGTTTGTGTCAGAGAGAGAGAGAGAGAGAGAGAATCAATTAAAAACTTATCAACATCGATACAACTCAAAGCACTTCAAGAGAGAGAATAAAGAGGGGGGTCTATTCTATACGAAATAAAAAATTATTTAAACCTTGGGAACAGTACAAACCCCATGAAAACCAAATCAAACAGCACAAAACCAAAAACCAGAAAACAACACTTCACTTACTTCATCAACTCTTTCTTCTCATCTGCCAGAAAAAAGAAAACCACCAACAAAGATTACATCAAAAGAACATTGTTTTGTTGTTACCTGTTACAATGGCAGTCAAATTAGAGGCATCAATGCCCTCTGTAACCTGCTCAGCTGTGGAAGCTGATCCAAACCCACTTGGCCCAGGCCTTCCAGTGATAATGGACAGCAAATTCATCTCCCCAAACACTTTTGAGCCACCCCCAAGAAACCGGAATCCTAGAGAGAGAAAGGACTGAGCCAAATGGAGTCGAAGTTCAAGAGAGAGAGTTGAATGCGGAACAGGGGAATGGGTTTTTGAGGCTTTTGATGAAGAGAAGAAGGGCCTTCACCGACCGAAACGAGGAATTAATGCATGACTGTGTTGCCATCAGTGACAGCCCACCCCTGCACCTACTTAAGACTGCATCATTCTTCTCTCTCTCTAACCAATCACTCTCTACTCTTTTTTTTACCTAATTACCATCTGAATCTGACTGAATTTCTGGATATGATTAATGAAAAAAGCCAATTGATATCCCCACTGGTTTACCGTTGGAAAAAAAATAATAATAATAATTGATAATCTTAATTTTACCATAAAATGCATCAAACAAAATGAAAGGGCATTCAATGTTGAGAAAAACGCCACGAAATTGTGGGAATGGGGCTGGGTCAGACATCCCAGTCACGTGGTATCCATTCCCACCAATAACAACACTTCGTTAACTCCCAATCTACTTGAAAAACGGGTACGAGCCTGCTTTTCCTGCAGAAAAAAGAAACAATAATAATAATAATAAATAAAATAAATAATAATAATAATAATAATTCAAATTTTCAAAAGAAAATTGTCTATGGTCTGAACCCCATAACTTACTTATTACATACACAATCAAAATAAGTGTAAATCATCCATCTAAAAACAATAGAAATTAACGATTCAAATATTTTTTTACTAGAATTATTATTTTTAGTTTTAAAATTTTACTCATTTTTTCATATTCATGATCTCCGTGTTAGAGATTGTATGTCTTTCAAAGCTAAGTCAAAATATCCATCTTAAAAATACATTTATTAAATATGTACAAGACTTTCCATAAGCTCGATAAAAAATTGACTGATAGTGATAACTTAACTTTTTCACTCTATTTTTTGCAAATAAATCCACAGCCTTAAAGATTCATTAAGAGAGTAAGAGTCACACTGAGGCTAGACTAGGGCTCCTGTCCCAGTCCAGGCTAGCCTTTGCCTTAGCCCAGCTTTAGTCCCTACAGGTCTGGCCTATCTAAGAAAGGTCCCCGCCCCCACCTCCCCTCCCCCTCCCCCTCCCCCTCAAAAAAAAAAAAACAAAAAGCAAAGAAGAAGAGTGTGACCGAGAGGGCCCTCATTCTGTACAAGGGCAAGCCGTACATGTAGGTCCAGGCCGCACAGCCCATTGCCAATACAAGGCTAGAATCCACATTTGTCTAATGCCTCTGCACTCCATAGCTTCCAAGGACAGGAATTACCGGAAGAAACATTCTTGATGAAATGAGAGCTCTTCCCTTGTACCTTAGAGTAACATGCAATAAAGGTCCATCAACTACATTGATTTGATGTCAACAAATAGGTCTCATCCACCTCCATTGACCAAAAATTTAATTAAAGTCACCTTACATTTATGCATATTAGTTCCATATAGTCCTAGTCACTGTACTCTACATGTCATGTTACTTAAAAATGTATCCATTGACGCCTTTCACAAACATTTCTAAAAAATTCGGCATTAATGATTGCCCAAAAAAAACTCTCCCCAAAATTCAGTGAAATCTATCTGGTGTCATTTTATTTTAAGGGTGAGGTTTGTATAAAGCTGCCTCTTTATACTGTACAAATAAGGCGTGCTTATAAAAATTTCTTAGAGATGTCATTTTGGTGTTGAAGACCTTATGATGGCTCAAAAATATCTTTCATCCTCAATTATAAAATTTAAAATTTCAAAAATTGAGCAGATTGAGTAGATCAAAAAAAAATCGAAAATCTTGAAAATAGACCGTCCAAATAACTTATTACAATATGTACTATTTTTTGGACTTGGAATTCTTTTTTTTCATGTCCATTCATCTCGATGTCAAGATGATTACTTGGAGGGTTATCCAACGCCGAAACACTCTCCTTTGTATGATTTTTTAGATGCACTTTACTTCAATAGTATAAGGTTACAACTTTATATAAACTTTTTCCTTATTTTAATGAGGAGATGATATGTGCAACCGGGTGACATATAAATGACAATTCAACACGGGTGGTGGGTTCTTAACTTCTCATTTAATTCGTTACGATGCATAATAATTGAGAAGGCTTTTGCCCTTGAGGAATTCTTGGTCGTCCGTTAAATTTTAGGGAAAATATTTCCATAGATTTTAATGTTAAGTTTTATTTTTTCGTAGACTCAAGGTTTTAAATCCTATCTACCTGTATAAATATTCTATTTATTATATCTTCAAACCCCTTGGACCAACTTTATCCAAATTTTTAGCCCAAGCAAATTTTACAAAGATATTCTTTTTAAACCCCTCTCTCTCCACGTTTTCTCTTTCTCTGTCCAATCTCCCAAACCCCTCTCTCTCTCTCTATTCCTCCAACTCTCTCTCCCTCCCCTGTGTCTCTCTCCCCGTTTTCCCAACTCTCTCTCTCTCCCCGTGAGAGAAGCAGATAAAAAAAGAAGAGAGAAAAATAGGTTTTTTCAAAGATGTTTTTTTCAAATTTGTTTGGGCCAAAAAGTTAAGGTAAAAATGGGTAAACATTGTTTAGGGGATTAGAAGATATAAAAGATGAAATCTCTATGTGTAAGATAGGCTTGAAAAGTTTGAGTCTATGAAGAAATGAAATTTAAAAATTAGGTCTACAAAGATATTTCCCCTAAATTTTAATATGAAGTTTAACTCAATTGAAATGTTGCTTTCGATCTATGGTGCATAGTCTTGACGATGGGTATGGCATTGGTTAGTATTTTGGTATAGTAAAAGACCTCAGTAGGTTTTTAGTCCCACATTGAAGAGTAGCATGTGGAAAGAGAGATATTAATATAGGAATACTCTCATATCTTATGTTTATTAAACGAATGAGTGATTGTGGGCACTTGTGCCAAGCACGCCAAGCACGCATGTGACCGCTCAGCATTGCACTTCACTTGCATTAGTGTTGAAGCATCTTTAGCCTGAGCACGAGTTTGGGCAGGGTTGTGGCTTGCCTCATTTTTACTAGATGCACTCAACAGTTTGCAAGACTCACATGGCATTGCGAACAATTGTGATTGTTCACATTTACATGCACTTCTAAGTGCCACTAGCCTTTGCATAGGTTTGGGTTGGGTCGTGGCTCGCCCCATTTTTACTAGATGCACTCAACAATTTGCAAGACCCACATGGCATTGCGAGCAGTTGTGATTTCTAAGTGCTTCTACATGCTCTATTAAGGGGTTTGGATTGGGTCGTGGCTCACCTCATTTTTACTAGACGTGCTCAACAGCTTGCAAGACTCACATGGCGTTGTGAACAATTATGATTGTTCACATTAACATGCACTTCTAAGTGCCTCTAGCCCGTGCATAGGTTTGGGCCGGGTCGTGGCTCTCCCCATTTTGACTAGATGCGCTCAATAGTTTGCAAGACCCACATGACATTGCAAACAGTCGTGGCTCGCCTCATTTTTAGTAGATGGGCTCAACAGTTTGCAAGACTCACATGGCATTGCGAACAGTTGTGATTGTTCATATTAACATGCACTTCCAAGTGCCTCTAGCCCGTGCAAACGTTTGAGCCGGGTCGTGGCTCGCCCCACTTTTACTAGATGCGCTTAACAATTTGCAAGACCCACATGGCATTGCAAACAATTGTGATTTCTAAGTGCCTCTACACGGTCTATTAAGGGGTTTGGATTGGGTAGTGACTCACTCCATTTTTACTAGACGCGCTCAACAGTTTGCATGACTCACATAACGTTGCGAACAATTGTGATTGTTCACATTAACATGCACTTCTAAGTGCCTCTAGCCCATGCATATGTTTGGGCTTGGTCGTGGCTCGCCCCATTTTTACTAGATGTGCTCAATAGTTTGCAAGACCCACATGGCAATGCGAACAATTGTGATTTCTAAATGCCTCTACACACTCTATTAAGGGGTTTCGATTGGGTCGTGGCTCGCCCCATTTTTACTAAACGTGCTCAACAGTTTGCACTTCCAAGTGCCTCTACATGCTCTATTAAAGGGGCTTTTACTACTTAACTCCTCACACTTTTATTTACTCGAATTTCACTATCTATCCAACATTTTTCTACTCTTTCTTTCTCTAAAAATACCATTTGTGCCCACTATCTCTCTCTAATTTCAAGCTGCTCTGGTGCTCTATAGGTTTGCCTATACTGTGCAATAGTAGGAAAGTATTATCTTGACTTTTTGTTTTCACATATCTTGAGGACTCCTGTGCTTGGGTTACTTTTTTGCGCATTGTTATTTTATAGTAAGCTAATAAATTACAGTCTTGAGAGAGTGCTTCTAGCGTGGCTGTAAACGGGAGAATCGATCTTCTTTATTAATTTCTACACTTCATTTCCTTACTACATACTCCAGCCCCCATTTCACCCTCCTTATTTTGTCAACAATCAAGAGTGTAATTTTGGGTGAAACAATGGAAGCCAGTGTGAATTCAATCAAAGTAATGAACCAAGATTTTGCAATGCTCGATCGCTTTGATGAGACAAATTTGAAACCGTGGCAACAAAAACTCGTGTTTTTGTTGGCCACGCTTAAGGTGACATATGTAATCACTGAACATACACTGGAATTGCCATCACTAAATGAAAAGGATGACATTGATTTATTTAAATATCGGCATAAATGGGTGGAGAACACTTATATTTATATGGGACATGTTCTCAACGCACTTACTAATCATGTATTGCTCAGTGTTATCAGCAAGAGAACATTGGCATTTGTTGGAAACCAAGTATTTAACGAAAGAGTCGGGTAACCAACATGTCTTGATTTCTAATTATTTGGAGTTTAAGTTCATTGACAACAAGCCAATACTCAATCAAGTGCATGAGTTGCAACTTCTTGTAAGTAAATTTAAATATTGTGGTATTGAACTTCATGAAGCATTTCAAATAAGAACTGTGAAGTGTCTCAGGTTTCTCTGAAGAGACTTGGTGTCCGTTAATCATATGAATATACAAACTTGTCCTTTATAGACAGACTACAGATAATCAAAATAGAAATAAATCACAGATTCCTATACTCTACCCAGACTTACTATAAAATACAAGATATTATATATACCCTTCCCATATATATTGATTACAATATTAACCTTCCCAAATATAGAGATTACCATATACACCTTCTATAATAACCTAATAAGCAATATATACTTTTCTTTCACACTCCCTCCCAAACTCAAGATGTTATGAGAGAGAGCAATTGGAGTTTGAACACTAGTTGCGAAAATGAGCAGTTGGATCTTCAGGTGCACACTCAGATTGCTTGATCAACAAGCACATAAATCAGCGGAAGAACGGCAGCGGATCAACAAGTCTCAGAAACAAAAGGCAATAACATAGTAGCACATCAAAGTTCAACAATGAACAAAAAACTTAAAATCTTCACCGAAGACAGAAAAATTGGTAGAGAAGAC